ATTTTTTACATATTGTATGATTTCTAATAAATATTAAAAAAAAAAAAAAAATTGATGATATGGTGTTTGACACGAGTCACCTCAATGTGTTTTTTTTTTCCACTGGTATAAAAACTTTTCCCGATTTGAGTACACACAAATACGAGAAATATTTTATAATAATATAATTAAGGTTATTAAGTTCCTAGGAACTTATAGGTATTTGAATTTCACAAGTAATTTGTGTAACTTATCATATTTTGTAATATCATCTTTTTTTTTTCAGTAAATTGTTTATTTATTCATTTTAAACTATTTTTGGAATACATTTTTATTATATACTATTCTTTTTTTTCAGATTTAACTAGTTGTACAGAATTTAATAATAATGCTCATCAAAATTGGTTTTATTTTTTAAGTACAATCTTAGAATTGGACAACATGAATGTTCGTGTTTCTTTTGTAAAATATTGTTTTACTGAATTAGATTCTGGAAAAATGTTGGTTTTTTTAAATCATAAAAAAATATATGCATTGGATAGATAAAAAATATGTAGGCATAGATGAAAATCTTCAACTACATAGACCAAAGGCTCGAGAAGTTTAATAGGGTCGACTTTAAAGATTAATAATAAACATTTTAAAAATGAAATAGACTAAATAAATATGTCATTATTATGCATACTCTTAATTTTAAAAATAAATATGTCCATAATATACTTTAGATGATAGAGTTTAATGTTTTTAAAAATATAATATATTAAGTTCCTATCTGTCCTAAACTTGGTAGAAAAGGAAAATATAAGCAATAAAATGTGTTTATTCTTAATCGCTCTAACTTCAGGTAAATAGGAGAACGTTTTTGAACAATTATATAAAAAGAAACTAATGTATTCAAATACTTATCAATTAGACTAAGTTGTCCACCTACTTGTCTTCTAAATCTCATAAAAATACAATAGAACACAATATCGCTACACTATGCTACTAATGGATCCCTTACAAGAATGATGAAGATTGTCAGTGCTCAGCTCTCCTTTTTTAATTAATTAATTTATATTTACCTTATTATTACTATTTTTTTTTATTATTAATATTTTACAATTTTTTAAATTCTAAAAGTTCTCAAAAAACAATGAACATTGTGTAAAGCTTTGATAGTAATATGATAAAGAATAACCAAAAATGTCACAAAAAGCAGTAACATTTATTACATATATTTTGTAGCATCGTAATGTCCTCTACAAAGTACATGTAAAAGAGATAGAAACCTGTTATAGGTGAGAAGTTGAGAATGTAGGATGATATAGAGGGGAATTTAATGTATATCTGTATGCAATAATTAATCTTTGCTAACGAAAAATGGTTCCGAGTAGAATTTGGCTATACATGTTTTAAAAGGCTGTAATATTTATATTTTAAAACTATGTATTTCATAAATTTTCCAGTTTTTCTCCCATTTATTATGAAAACAGCTGGGAAAATCAAAAAATAACCATAGTCAGATTTTCTTTCAGAAAAAGTGCTGTACTTAAAAATCAGAGCAAAATTGCTGTTAGAAGTTGTTTACAAATGAGCCATAAGTTATCACCAAACAAATTTTTACATTATCTAAGTACAATAAGAGAAAAAAATCAACAATACTCAGAAATTATTCAAAATAAAAATAAAAGTTAAAATAGAGTAAAAATAACATGATCACTACCAACTGATTTATAATCAATATTACTTTGTATTAAATTTGTTGTATATATATATATATATGTAGTATGTGTAGTAAATAAAGTAACAAATAATAGGTTAATTTTTTCCATTTGCTGTGCTTCCTAAAGTTTAGGTTTGAGAAGCACCAATATTTCAAGAATCTGAAAAATAAAACTAGAATTATTTATTTATTTATATGCAAATTTAGTATAAGTAAAAGTAAGTAATAAAGGTACACAAAACAAAATTTTACATTTCATGGACACACATAAGGAAGGAGGGATCCACATTGGCGCAAGACATTAGCAGACTAATAGGTTCATTGTGCATGCAGTTGGTAGCAGAATGTGGAATTAAAAAGGAAACGGCTGATCTAGTATTGCGCNCTACGCTCAGCCAAATATTCTAAATTGAGTAAATCAGACACAGAGGTATAGTCTTGGGGCAAACATTAAATGATAGGCAAACCGAAAAAACCGTTACTGAACCCTTTCAAGCTCCAACGAGTAATCTGCAGTATGAAAATCCCATATAATTGCATACTAAAATTAGTACTATGAGTAATGTGATACATTACACTTAAAGAAGACCAGTATAATACAGTATTGTTTTGTTTGCAGAGTATATTTAAACTACTTCGGGACCACTGATTAGTGATTATTAATGCAAAATAATAATAATAATAATAGGTACAAAGTACAAATATTATTATATATTATATAGAGCTAGTTAAAAATTTAATAGGTATTACTTACTCAGGTAAACATTGGAGCTTTGAAAAACATAATAAATTTTGATCGATTATTCTGAAAGCAAAACCAGCAATATATCTACTTGAACGGTCAAAGAAAATCATTAACTTGAAACAAATATCGATTCAAAATTGTATAGGTAGATTTAATAGACATAATAATATCTATTTATCTATTATGTGTATAGTAAATTTATACAGATTGATGATAGTATACAATTAAAATATGATCTTTAACCGAAGTGCTATTCACTGTATACGCCGTGTACAGAGTTTTGGAGCGCGCTGATACTTTTAATTTTAAGTCAATAAGAATCTAAAAAGAAATAATATTACCAACAGGCTACTACCTACATCAAAAAAGCCAAAATTATGAATTGAGTGCGAATAATATTGTAGATTATAGCGTGTTAAAATGTTATTCTATTTACTCTAATAAACACCCAACATAATTGGATTGTAGAAAACACTGTAGAAAATAACGTCGAAAAGCGAAAAATGGTAAGCGATTGTAAAACGCTATGTTAAAGGTAGGTACGATCAACGACGAATATTAATGACGTCATAGCGTAACGACCTATAATATAGCGAGAAACGTGCCGTTCGTACGCACATTTATGGTACCGATGATGTTATAGTGTTCGGGAGGTTCAAGAAAAGCGAAAAAGCAGAAAAACACAAAGCGATTTTATAATACTCGAAAAAATCCGAAGTAAATTATCGTAAAAAGAACAAACGTTAAAAGCCCGTAAATAAAAATCCCCTTATAGAGCTGATTTCGCCAAAGACTCCACTGCTTAGCATTATTTCCGTTGTATTGGTATGCCGCGTGTTAAACATATTATTATTACATCGTATTATGTAAAACGTCCATCTATACTTTTGTATAGCATACATCCTATCGCCATTCCTACTGCTATTGTCATACTTGTATACTTGTCTATGTGTACTTCCCTGTGTCACACCCTCGTGTATCGTGGTTTTGTTTTTCCATTTCCAAGTTAATAATCAGCGACTTATTGAAATTCATCTTGAATTAATTTCTGTTTTTGTTATATTTACATTCTGACTGTCAAAATAAACCAAAATTTAATCGCCAAGTGCTTTTCATTTTTCAAATTACTCTGAATAACTACCATGTCTGACACGTCTGAAAAACTCCAGGAACAAGAAGTGATGAATTTGGTAATTTATTGTCAGCTGCCTTAGATTATTAAATTCAATCTCATCCATTATGAATCATTTTGTTACAGGATTTTACCGAAGTTGCACAATCTCTGCATGAACCAAATAGCAGTCAAGTTACAAATAATATAGGTAATATGCCAATAATTTTGTATTTTGATGTCCAAAATTATTTTTAATATATTTTACCCCATATTTTTTTATAGTATTGATATTATCATAGGACATTGGTAGATACATAATGGTTTGGAACAAATCTAGTTATCACCCCCTTCAAATTTTGTATTTTCTTTTCCAGAACCTATGTATTTCAATGTTTTAAAAATAATGATTGAAACTTTTTTTTATAGAAATCATTAGTTTTGAAGTTTGAATATTATGTGTATTATGTTAATGCTTAAAAATTCTTACTGGGCAAACATATATACATGTCTAGGCCACTTCAATTTTTACCATTTCTTGATACTATATTGATAGTTGTATTCTTAATTACAATTTTTGTTTAGAGAAGTATAAACACATACACATGGACAATACATTTATAGAAACTTTTGTCACCGAATTAATATCCCTTCTATACATATTTTTTTTTAAAGGAAAATATTTCTACCGAAACACTTACTAAAAGATATTATTGTATAATTTCAATGGTCAGAATACAGGATTTTCAAATGGAATGAGAAAGGCTCAGCTAAAACAAATGTCTTGCAAAATACATAGTTTTTATTAAAAAAAATTTTTTTTTTTTAAACCGCCCGAAAGATTTTATTGCAACGATCAAAATAAATCTATAACAATACATTATCAAAGGTGTACATAAATACTTGTGATGTATTTATACACAAAATAAAATAAACGTCTGGAATCTCACTCCCAGTGGAGTGGCCCCGATCCTAGTCTAAGAGTCTTTTACTAAGTCATATGGTCTTCGACGTTTGAGACGCCTTATGTCTATAGAGTTTTCTAGTAGTTGAATTGATGCTGGATTGGTATATTGATCCAGTCTTTCCTCATGTTTGTGGGCAAACTTGGTGATCTTGTTCTGGACAAAGTTTATCATCATATCTTGATGGATAATGTTGTTCCGGTCATACCGGTAAGCTGCGACAATAGTACGGAGAGCGATTTTCTGGCAACATTGTATAATCTGAATAATGGACTTGCTGGCACAACCCCATAGTTGAATTCCATAAGACCATATTGGTTTAATTATCATTACGTACAAAAGGCGTTCACTTCTGAGGTCTAGTTCGAAATTTTTTCTGACAAGCCAATATAGTTGTCGCATTTTCTTCTTAATTTGCAGTTTTTTCTGTCTAACGTGGTGCTTCTAGGTGAGCCGAGAATCCAGATACATACCTAGATATTTTGCTGAGTAACTCTATGGGATGCTCTACTGATATAGTAATATTGGTTTATAGATGGTTTTACGCCATGTAATTTATGTGTACCGATTATCCCTGTTAATTTTAATCTTCCAATGTTTCGTCTAGTTGGAAACATTGTTGGTGGACCTTTAAAGTAAATCAGTCACAGTCTGCTGGTCTTTATTTGTTGTCATTATTGCTGTGTCATTAGTAAACATGGCTATCTTTATTACAATAATTATATTTAGTTGAATAAATAGTGTAATTGTGTAATGATTATTTGATTAGTAACTAGTAGAATTACTCAGTATTTCTCAAGCTCACCTTTATCCTTAACATAGTAAGTATTTATTTCTCAGTAATTTATCTTTTAAAAAGGATTGTTCCTTGATTATGACAACCAAATTAAATAATAGTAACTAGTTTTTTCATGCTTGTCTTCAAGGTAAGCCATAAATCAACAAAAAAAGTTCAATATTTTCATTCCAAAAATACCAATAACTAGATAAAAATATAGAAAATTAATCAAAAAATAAAGAGGGTCAGCCACTCTTTAGTGGTTAAACTTTTGAGATAAAATGTAGACAGTGACCCATCATCTTGTTTTGAACATCATGTGTGAAAAGTTTCATCCAGATTGGAATAAAATTGTAAATTTGTATAAAAAGCGAACAAATCAAATTTGATTTTATATATACATAATGTATTTAAATTATCTCTGTATGTGTTATATATAGAGATAATTTTTCAATGCTGAATAGTTTATATTATTTTATGTTTTTATATTAAACATGTTTAATGGACTATGGGGTAAATAAACATTTCGTTCCTGTCAACAAATTCAGTTTTAGACATCTTGTCCACGGTAAGGTCCACCTCATCTAACTTAAATCAACATTAAACAAGTTTAAACATAAAATTAGAAATAAATATTATTTTGTTCAATTTTAATGATAGATAATTTACAACTTCATGAGTGTAAATGTGTTCATAATTATAAACAAATAAAAAGACTGATATACTTGACACAATGGGTGGACCACTGCTGTAGATGAAAAGTTTGGTAGGTAGAATATAGAGGAGAGTTTAATATATATCTGTAAGCAAAGATAAATAACTGATAACGAAAAAAAATTCTGAGTAGAGCTCTGTTAATAGTATTAATTTTTCAACAATATATATGTAATATTATAATAGAATAAATATATATTGAAAGAGTTTAATGTAAACTCATTTATTTTTACTACAAAGTACAACTTCTAATAAACTTAATATTCAATTTTTAATAATTTCTGTTTAATCAAACAATTTTACCTCAGAGTACTTACCTAATAAAAGTTATATAAATTACGAAAAAATAAGACTTGAGATATTGTAGGTATTTTTCAAGATATTTTATTTTAGGAGATTATTTTTTTAATTTCCAAGAGGTTTTCAAAATATCTGAGAAAATGTATATATCTAAAAAAAAAATGAGAAATTTAAATAAATAATGCTTTTTATTATTTGTTTCAATTCAGTTAAAAAAAATTGTAGAGAATTGAAATTTAGGCAGAAAACTTATATTTGCCTATTTTTACATGGTAAAAATGCAAAAACATTTAAGCCATATATTAAAGCTATTTATAGACACTTAATTTTGTGAGTAATTTTTATTCTGTAGGTACTCTGTGGATAAAATTGTTAGGCCAAACTGAAATGCTTGAAAATTGAATAAGAGGTTATAATTATAATTAATTATAAGTCCTACTTTGCAGTCAAGACAAACAAATTTAATTTAATATAGTATATTTTTTTCTAAGAATTTTAATATTAAATTTTGACAAAAATTGTTTTAGTAAAAAATGATGTGGAACAAATCTAGTTACTACAGGTTCATACATATTGTTTCAATATAATATGACATATATATTTTTGAAAAAGCAATAGGTACTATTAATCGAACTCCGCTCAGAATCGTTTTTCATTAGCAATGATTAATTTTTGCTTACAAATATATATTAAATTTCTTTCTATATCCTATCTTCCCAAGTTCATATCTACAACAATGGTACACTCATAAAGCTAATTATGTTGCTAACCTACCTTTTTTCTTATCAATCATTAATATTGATTTAAATTATTCCCCGTGCTTCTCCAGTTTAAATATTAAATTGTTATAGTTCATAAATAGTATCTCTGATAATAGTATTATCTTCAACAAATTTTAGAAATGTTTTAATCTAAATTATTTAAAAGAGAGGAGGGAAGGTTACCATTTGAAAATTTAAAAATTTAAAGTTAGTATACATATGTACAATACAAATACTAAAGACCACCATTCCTAAATCAGAGGCAATAGTAATAATATTTAAGGCTGTGAATTTAATGCAATGAAAACCCTTAAAAATGCATTTAATTTGGTTTATAATTAAATTTTTATATTTATTTTGAAAATTGAACAGGAGGTTAATTATAAGTTGGACTTTGCGATCAAAACCAAACAATTTAGCTTAATATAAATTTTCTTCATAAGAATTTTAATATCAAATTTTGATAAAAATTGTAAACAAATCTAGTTACTGGTCCATACAAATTGTCTACTCATTCGTATGGACTGTTTTAATCGAAAATACACATTATATCGGAACTTTAAATGGCTATTACTTCAAAAGTTATGATTTTCCCCAAAACTTTTGCTCAATTATTTTTAAACTATTAAAATACATAGGTTTCAAAAAAAATTTTGATAAAGGTGCTAAACTAGTTTTATGCCAATAGTTAATACCAGCCATACTCAACCTTTATTTTTTACTTAGACCATATAGGTGGCTTCTTATTTTTCTTAAGATATGCAAGACACAACATATTGATTAAAGTGACTAAAGAGAAATAAAAAAACCTACCTAGCCCAACATATGATATTCATCATTGTAGATAATATATTTTATTTGAGGATTCATCCAAGCTTTATATAGAATAGAACCTACTTTCATTTGTCATATTTTAAGAATTAATGGGAGTAATATGATGATGATGATGATAATAATAATAATGGCAGCTAAAAATTATTTTGTATCGTTTTTGAAAATAGTAACATTAGTTTTTATTTTATGTGTTGCAGAACCAGAAGACCATAGCCAGACAAGCTGTACAGCAAAACGATACAAACTTGACAAAAATATTGAAGCATCAACCTCAATTGTTACACTTCATTCAATACATACCAGTGGAACCAAAGAATCTAATGACATAGATAGTGAAGAAGAGACCATAGAACAAATTGATAATGGTATTTCTGAACCTCTCCATGATACTGCAATTTTAATAATGTCTGTCGTGTTAAAAGATATTGATCATGCTTTATATAATTTTATTCTTTCTGATAAAAGAGCACTGAAATATATATTAAGTGGTAAAGTACTGAATCTTGAAACTGAAATGACTGATTATCAAAAAGATAATCCTTATGATCTAAAAGAAATTGATGAAATTGTTGATCATGTAATTATTTTTGGTGTACGTTTTTATTTAGTAAAATGGAAAAATTGGTCTAAAGGTTTTTGTACATGGGAATGTTTTAATGATATATGTAATTCACAACATCTTTTGGGTGATAATGTAAAAGATAAAACAAATGATTCAAAACAATTAAGAAAAATAGATGGAATGCATATAATATTATCCAGAAGATTTGTTTCAAAGATGTTTAATTTATTTAGAACTGAAGATGGTCTAGCTTTGCCAACAATTTCTATTGAAGATCTATCTGGTTTATTCGATAACATCAATATTGGTTGTGAAATGAGACAAATGGCATTTAAACGAAACTTGGATTCATACTTGGGTGTAATTTCATTGAATTGTTTCCAGTATATTCAATCAAATGAACTTAAACAGTGGGAGATCACTATAAATGTATTATCAAATAGTTATAATATCAAAGTAGAAAATAATATGGATCTTGAAGGACCTCCTGATACCATTGTATATGCCACTAAATATATTTATGGAAAAAATGTCAACATATCAAATGATCTGGTTATTGGTTGTGAGTGTACAGATAACTGTAAAAATAGCACAAAATGTTGTAATGAGCGAGTTGGTTATTCCAGACTTTATGATTCAAATAAATGTATTATTGTGGACCCTGGTTATCCTATTTTTGAATGCAATAAGAATTGCAAATGTAATACTGACTGTTATAATAGAGTTGTACAGTTAGGTAGTACTGTACGTATTTCTATTTATAAGACAGAAAAATGTGGTTGGGGTGTCAAGGCTTCCGAATACATTGAAAAAGGAAGGTTTATTGCATTATACACAGGGAAAATAATTACAATAGAAGAATCTAAAACTAGATTAAAAGAAAATGCTTCTCTTTCAGAATACATGTGGAACTTAGACTTTGATGATAAACATAATTATGAATATATTATTGATGGGTCAAAGTATGCCAACTTCACACGTTTTATTAATCATTCATGCAACTCTAATTTAAATGTTTATACAGTACGGATAAATTGTTTGGATAAAACTTTACCAGAATTGGCTCTATTTGCAAGCAAAAATATTTTGACTGGTGAACAGCTAACTGTGAATTATTTTTTTGGGAGCAATAAAAATAAAATTGGGAAAAAAACTGGCATTAGATGTCTATGTAATGAGAAGAATTGTCAAGGCTACTATTTTTAATATTTCAATTATATTTATCATTTAATACCTATTCATATTTTAGATTCTGAGCAGAAGGAGGATTATATTGGTTTTACAATGTTTTTTTTTTTTGTGTGAACACTACCGGAAAGCTTAGGTTATCAAGTATAGCACTTTTTCTGAAAATAAATGTTTTTGGGGTGGTAGTTTAGAAAGATCATTTTTTAAAAATTCTCATTAATATTCAAAATAATGAGGTTGTCATTGGCAACTGGTTTTATTTATTTTTTGTAAATCTTTTTTAAACAATCATATTGCTGTCATGGAACCGCACATAGTTGTAATCATTTTACCATAATATGACATATTTTTGACAAAGCAACACTTTCAATTGAACTCTGCTCAGAATCCTTTTTCATTAACAATAGTTTATCATTGCTCACAAATATACATTAAATTCCCATCTGTATCCCACCTTCCCAGCTTCCCATTTACGACAGTGGCTGTAACCACTTGCAAAATATATCAGAATTCCTTTTTTTTTGTTTAAGAATATTAATACAAATAATAATTTTTTAAATGTTTGATTTTTCTTTCTATTTGTATTCATGGTGATGGATTAATAGGCAATATGAGGAATTTTAAATAATTTACATATTATATAGTATAGTATAGTATAGTTATTAGTATTCTAGTATAGTATTCTAGTTTTTTTATATACTTTTCTATTTGAGTGAAAATGTATTTTCAGAAAAGTATTTCTTTAGAGTTAAATTGTATTAAAAAAATATTTTTAAAGAACAATAAAATTTAGTAATATAGCTTTTATTAAATTTTAGTTTTTCGAAAAATATCTCTGGAAAATCCACTTATTACGAAAAAAAATGCTAAAACTATAATTTTGAGAAATTTTTATTAATTATCAACAAACTAAAGGTCTTAAAATTGTTTTATGCATGATAAGCCTAAATTTTCCTGTTTTTAACAATTTCAAACATCAAATGAATCAGTGTTTGGTATATGGGTTATTTGATAATAAAATAATTTAACAATAATAATTAATAGCTAGCCATATTAAATCAGTGCTCTGATATATATATATATATATATATATATATATATATATTATAACTGGTCTGAATAGCAAACTATGATATATATGAAATACATGGCTGTCACTTGATAATACTCAATTTTCCTAAAAAATGAATGCTATTAGTGAAAAGTAGCATTTCTATATTTTATTTTATTATATTAATAAGTATTTTCTGTAATTTGTGACGTATTTCCCATAAATATTTCATTAAATATCCATTTTTTTTAACTATTATATATTTAGATTTAAAGGTTTGTAATGTATCAATTTATATAGAGAGGCCACATTTATACTTTCAATGATATATACATTATTATATATATTATAATGTTATATCAATACACATTTTTACCATATAAGACAACTGGTTTTATTACCTAGTTAAAGTTAATTTATATTTAATAATTAATATTTAATGTCTTAATGATAATATATATGACAAGTCTGCTAATTATTCGAAAAAAAAAATAATTTTGTATTAAATATATTTCAATATGTCTTAAGTTTTAATATAACATTTTTCATGTTCAGTTTCATACTTACATTATATTTCATATTAGTGTATTGTGTGTTTTAAAAATGATATGTTACATTGTATATTTAATTTATATGTTAAGATAATAAATTACCTACATTATAGTACATACTTTTATTTTTCAAACTGCCAAAAAACTTATTACAACAATCAAAGATCTTTAGAAATACATTAAAAAGGTGTACAAGAATACTGGTGTATTGATGTACAAAAATAATTTTTTTTTTTTAGGACATACCTTTAACTTTTTTATTTATTGATGGAGACAGTAAGAGTCCAAATAGATGAATGGATTTTACTGGATAAATTTAGTGTTTATGGACATAAATGTGTGTGATTATATTATATAAATTTGTGCAGTGATGTATATTTATTTTTTATTGAGCTAAACTATTACATAGGTTGATAGTTTAGTATCAATGTTATTATTATTTCAACAATTTCAATAAAGAAAATGACATCACCTGGAGTAAATATGCAGTGAAAATGAATATGGTCATCTTACCAAAATAATTGTTTATTTGGTCGTGACTAAGATAATTATCTAGATAAATCTAAAATATACAAAAAGAATTGAATTTTCTAGTAAATAACAATTTAAACGATTTACATAGATCATTTAATTATTTATCTTAAATAATGTCTCAGGTAACATATTTTTTATTTATCTAGATCAGGGATGAGAAATTAGTTTCTAAGTGGAGCCGGATAATTTGAAGTAAAAGTTGAGTAGAAAAAAAAAGGTTCAACCTCTACCTATTTGGTGTTCTTTCTTATTTAATACCTCCAGAAAAATTGTATTAAACACACAATTATTATAATATTATTTAAATATTTTATAATATAAAATAAATATACAATTTTATAATAATACACCAAATATACCAAATACACAAATATAAATGACATGTATGTTTATATTTACACAAAGACAAATAATGAAACCAAAAAACCAGCATTAAAGTAAAAAATATTAGTGGTTTATTTATGTCCTCCGCAGGCTACCTATTGCTTACCCCTGATCTATACAATATAAAAATGTACCTATCTGATACCTACAAGTATGTGTGTAGTATGCACTGACTTGTAATTAAAGAGTCGGTTGTCTAAGTATTCTCCAATATTTAAAAATATTTTAATTGTTTAACATTTGAATGCTCTCCTTTAATTAGACTTCCACTGCTTAATACTGATTTAAAGGAAAGGGGTATGAACATTTTTGCAAAAGGAACATGACATTTTAAATGGAAAAGACAGACAGAACTGAATAGATTTCAATTATAGTTCTTTAGGTTCTATTCTAGGGTATGTTGGAATTATTTGTTTAATTTAAATTCTTTTAATTATAAAAAAAAAAACAATTTGCTTACAGTGTTTTTTTTTTATAAAACCACTTTGAAAATTGTGATCAGTCAAATATTAATAACAGAAAGAAATATTAGTGACATAAAGTTAAATCATGGTTTATAGCATAGACCTTATACTAATAAGTAAAATATAATACACAATTTACTTATTTATTTATTATTACAATTCAACAACACAATAAGAGATCACAATTTTTAAATCCACACATAATACTCACTTCTTTCAAATTAAATAAGCTAATTTAAAGCCTTGTCAAATAACAAAAAAAAAAATATTATGCTGAATCAAAACCAATTTCACCACCAGACTTTATCCTGTACAAAGCCAAGAATTTAATTATCAATTAGAAAAGCTGATACAAACAAAAATTATAAGAAGCACACAATTTGTATTTTATACTTTAAACATTTCTAGTTCATATAAAAGAGAAAAATACAACTAAGTCCATAACAACTAACAACAAATTAAAATCTTTAACATAAATTCAATCTAAAGAAAATTTAATAAAAAAAGTTACCGATCTAACTTTAAAAGATCTTTAACTGTCAATTTCCAAATCTCAAAATTCAACTAATGCCTTCTTATTCTTAAAATATGACTAATATATCATGCAATGTAAAATTATTTTTCTATTTAAAATGTAAATAATTTTGATTTTTGAATTTGTTAAATAAGTATCTATATAATATAATATTGTATTATACAAGTATAGTAGGTCTACGATTTATGGATAATATCTATTATACCCGTGACTATCTACTGATAGGCCAATGGTTGAAAATTTGAAAATATAACAGTTATTATGATTTATTTGATAAGAAATATATTATTTTTATTCGATTTTGAGCCGAGCGTGAAATGTATTGGTTTTATAATTTTAAATTTTTTTTTTATCTTAAAACAATTTTCTATCAGAAATTTTGTTCCTATTTATAATAATAACACTATTTCTGAGAGAAAATCTGACAGATGGTACCTATACCTACTATAGAAAGGTCATTTTTTATTATTACAAGAGCTCTTCCATTAAATGGAAAAAACTGGAAAATAAGTACAAATGTACAATATTATACAAATGTATAATGCATATGTAATTATTTTACCATAATATAGCGTATATTGTTGATAATTAAAGACCTTTTTTATTGCATTTTTAATATAATTGGTAAAAAAGTTGATTTTCCAAGCAGTTTTTAATAATAATTTAGAAAAACGATTTTTGAGCTCTGTATGCCTCAAAATGTGTGACATTTTATGTTTGCAAGTTTTTATAGTTCTTATGTGGTAAGTACTAAGTGAATATAATTATTTAACCAAACAGAAATGCTTGAAAATTTAACAGAAGGTTCATTATAAATCGTAATTAGTGATCTAAAAAGAAAATTAGTAAAACACAGTAAACTATTTATAAAATTATATTTTCCCGATGGAAATCATTAATTGCTTAGATAATATTGTTAGACAACGGTGACGATAAATTAATGAATACCAAAAATAATAATATCAGAAAAATATTTTATTAGCTTGTCAAAAGTCTGAAAAGTTTAATTGTCGAAAGTTTAATCAGAGAAATTGAAAACATATTTAATGACACATCTATTTATATTATGACATTTGCTAGTCATTTTGAGTGGTTCCAATCTTTCATTGATACCTATACTATATACAAGACACCGAATTGAAAAAAATGTGTGGTTATTTTCCAATGCCTAATGCAGAAACTGTACTGGTAAATATGATGTCATTAATTGTTTTGTCAAATCTATGCTTGATAGTGGTATATACAAGGCACATAAAAGTCCATTGGTCAAAATCATCAAAGCCGATGTGGGATATACTGAGTTACAACAACTTTGTGAAATACTTCTTGTTATTCACGTTGCGAGAGCTTATTCGATATAATTGATAGAGTTCTTACAAAGACAATAAAAAAATGCTACCAGGAACCTTAATGCATTGTATATTAATAAGTATGGAAAGGTCTGACGTTCCAACAGAAGATTTCTTGAACAAAACAATGGATTTGTACGCATCTAAGAAAAATTGCCGAATTCGGTTCCTTAAGACAATATTTTAGTAGATGGTATTTTTTTTAAAGTTCATATAACTTGATTGTGTATATTTAAAAATAACATTGATGTATAATTTTAGAAATAATACTTTGTGACCTGCATGTATGTTAAACTTGCGAGATTTTGTATATTTAGTTCTTTATTCACAACCATAATTTCAAAAAAAGGTAATATTGTCAAATCACATATATGACTTTTCGATTTTTCCAAATCCCCCCTCTGGATAAAATTGTCTGAAAGAAACATTGATTAAAATTGTTACCTAAATCGTTAGTATACCTATTATTCTTGTGTATTATTAGCTATTTCGTCTGTTGTGTACTTTTTTATTCAGGTTTAGGTAAGCGGCTGGCCAATTAGCGCTCCGTATTGTACTGCAGTCGCAGTGAGTAGGTAATTTTGTATTATGATTTATGAATAATGTTGTGTGTTATTGTTATAACACGATATTTTTACATTATTAATTGTTGAGCCAAAAGGGCTGATTTAATTAGTACTTATTAAGTATTGTTTGTATTGTTACGAATTATTATAGATAATTTTTATTTCTGTGTATTTAAATACCAAAAATACAAAGATAGGTACCAAATAGTTACCAAACTCTGCAGAAAATACTATTTTTGTTGTGAGATAATAACATGCGTCAACTGTGGTTAATGGTACATGAACACGTCGCAACCGATTCGAGAAGGCAACCAATAAGAAGGGTTGCCATCAATTTCGTTGCTAACCCGACTAGAGACCCTCTGCGATATACCTAATGCTTTGGTGAATTACAGTATGTATTGGTGAGTGATGATGGTCAATCATCGTGGAATCTAAATCTAGGCACGGTTCTCCGAAAGCGGATACAGTCTGAGTGTGAATATTTTTCTGCTAAGATATAATTCCTGATAAATTCATGTTTGGCTGTTTTATACTACAAATTCGTTGAGATTATTTTAAAATTGAAATCGGTTACAAAATGATGAAATTTGTTTAGTTTCACCGGTCACATTGGTTACAAATGTGTCATACAATTTTGACCATTTCGGATCAGCGGTCGTGGCGATCGGTGAGTGGTGACTTTTGATCGAATGTTATCATTTTTATCGTAACTGTTTAAGTTTTTGCTATCGTACAAAATTAGTCTCTTCTTATTATTATCTTGCAACAATAACAGGGAGCAAGTCATCTATAAAGGATGTAAGTTAAACGAATTAGTTTTAAACGAATATCTTCACCGTTGTCACCACCTCACCGGTTACCATAAATAATAACCTTACAAAAATGGTTTATTATCGATTTGTGACCGGCAATTCTCAACGAATCTGACATCTGTTAGATTTAAATTACTTTTATTCTGTACAGTATGTCATTCTGATGGGATGTGATTTATTTATTAGTTTTTTAGTATTGGTCATGCTGATAAAATTAAAATATACATTATCAAGAATATATGGCTATTACCTAACCTAACCATTATTCTGTTAACATCTCATTTTGTGTTATGTTTAAGTCAATGTGCCATGTCCAACTTACTACTTTATAATATATTATCTGTTTTTTGTATTTTTGTATTTATTTGAACTTAAAAAAAATTGTATATTTACTGTTATACTTTGATTTTTTTTAATTTAAAGATCAAACAATATTTCATATTTTTAACTAATCAATAACCTACAATAACATCTTTCATTAAATCTATATATTTACAAAGTCATTTTTCTGTTGTAGTTCTGTATCTTATTATTAATTATGGCCAATAAGAACCCGTTTCTGAAAACTGGAAAACGGAAAAGAAAGAAGGCAAAAAAAAATGTTGAAACAAAACCAGACCAAAAACCTTTTTGTCCGCGATTGATGATCAGATACGACCAACCTGATAATTCAACTATTGGTTATAAAACAGTATGGGTTTGTAGAATGTGTATGAAATGTGTACTGCACGAGGGTGCAGTTCAAAGTCATTTACAAAAGTGCAAGGTGGAGTTCAAAAACAAAACTACTGTTTATGAACCCGTTATACTGTAAGTTCTAGTATTTTTCTGTTAGATAATTGATTGAAATGGGCACTTATTTTATTTTGTATGTTTTTTAGTAATGAAAGTCTAGATAATAGTTACATTTGCCAGATTTGTAATAATGTTTTTTCACGTAAAGTTGCATTAAAGAAACACATGGAGAAACACGAAAATACTCCCGATACAGAACTGTACGGATCAGAAAGTGAATGAACCCTCCAAAGGGTTGTAGACTGATTGCATCTCCATAAATTTAATTGAGGAATCATAATTTTTTTACATTTTTTGAAGTTTTTAATTTTTAAGTTAACTTGTTATACTTTTTAAGTCATATTTTCTTTTTTAGTTCGTTGCCAGTATTTTTAATTAGATTCCTTCAATTAACATCTGTACACACATTTTATGTTTTACAAAAGCTGTATGTATGTCAAATTTATATTTTATAAAATAATATTTTACATAAGCAGTATACGGGTAGGTAAAGATAAGAATTCAATAAAATAAGGCAATATGGTTTAGATTAGTTATTCTTAGGCTTGCAATATCACTATCGGTAATATCAGTAATGTGAAAATTAAAAACCATTTTTAGTTCATTTGTTGAGACTTAAAATGCTTATTTTATTGCATTTTTAAGATTTTTTACTGCATATGTTCACAGTCCTAATTATTATTAACATGTTAAACGCCCCTGTAGCCCCTGTAGCCGTATGTATAATTGGTATAATTCGCGAGTTTCAATTACGGCAGCCATGGGCGCCCATTTCCAGCAATTTATAAAAGTATGCAATTTATAATTAATTTTCATATTAAAATAACCACTAATAATACATAATATATAATCATAAATTATAATAAAAATTTCAAAATATTTAAAACAAAAAAATCAAAACATATTTTTACTTTGAAATTATACACTTTATTAAAATTATAAATTTCTATAATACATTATTATTTTATACATCTACTGTATGGGGAATATCATTGTATTAGTAGATATATTATAAAATAACTATTCAAATGTGAAATTAATGTATAAATCTATGTCAAATAAAAATATAACTTACCTTTTGTTTCTTTCTATTTCATATAACAGTAAAAATTGTAAATAAAATATAAAAATCACGAAAATTTAAAACCAACTATTTTACATAATAAACAATGGCGGACAAAAGTTTAAAATGTTATAGCGGCCTTCACCATAATAAGAGACAGGGTACGGCATGTCAACTACAGGTTGACACCGGCGTTTAACGTGTTAATATTTAGTAAGGTTTATAAATTTAAATCTGACTAGGTTTCTATTGCCTCTGATGTAGGAGTGGTGGTCTTAAGTATTTATTTTGTACATATTTATACTAACTTTATAATTTTAAAATAGTAACCTTCCCTCCGGTCTTTTCAACAATGATTAAAAAATTTCTAAAATTTGATCTGGATAATACTATTATCAGAAATACCATTTATGAACTATAACAGTTTATTATTTAAACTGAGGAAGCGGGGGGAGGGAATTATTATCTACTGGTGTCCCATGGAGATTTGAAAAGTAAATTGTATTATTTAATAGTTCAAATTTTTTTTTTAAAATTAAAGTGTCTAAATAGCTTAAATAAATGGTTTAAATGTTTTTACAGTTTTACCATGTAAAAATAAGCAAATATAAGTTTTCTGCCCAAATTTCATTTCTCTACAAATATTTTTTACTGAATTGCAAAAACATTGAAAATAATTAAAATCATTATTTTTTTAATTTCCAGTTTTTCTTACATTTTCTTTCAGATTTTCTCAGATATTATGAAAACCGCTTGGAAAATCAAAAAATAACCTCCTAAAGTATCATCTGGACAATTTATTTTTTAGAAATGGTGCCACATGTACAATGTCAGAATATGATTTCTAGTAGACATTTTTGATACAGTATATGTTTGTATAGAAAACAAAAATACAAACATAAATATCTTTGTAAAACCAATACATTCTTGGCTACATTCAGAATCTAAAAAATGTTAAATAATATTATATTGATTATATCTATTGTATCTTCTGGGCCAATGACTATGCCAAATGCTAATGTAAGTCTCTTCACCACCATTGCCTTCTCACAGAAATGCGTCTATCTACTCTAAATATAGCAGAAAATACTATTGATGATGCGATGTTTTGTTTGGACAATAGCATATGCTCTCCATTTTAAATTTTTAACACTGATCAAATCTTTTACTATATTTTTTTAATCATCATTTTTTCATTTATATTAATTATTTAAGAACTTTTTTTATTATACGTTTTTAGTAATACAATTTTAAAATAATAATAATAACATACTGTATTTGTATGTACATTAACTATACTACATAATAATTAATTATAATACATACATACATTTTAAAAACTCTAAGTCAATATTTTTTTCTTAAAACCTTAACTTGAAATCCTTGATAAGTCAAAAAAATTGAATTTCGACTTATCGAGGTTCTACTTTATTATATAATTTACAGACAACTTTCATATTACATCAATTTTGTAACCAAAACTAAATGCTTCGCTTAAAGCTGATACATATTTTAAGACGTGAATTATAAATTCNAAATTAAATTAAAATTGTATTAACTTGTTAAAAACAACTTGATGAATACAATTTTAAAATAACAACATACTGTAACTGTATGTACATTAACTATACTACATAATAATTAATTATAATTCATACATTTTAAAAACTTTAAGTCAATATTTTTTTCTTAAAACCTTAACTTGAAATCCTTGATAAGTCAAAAAAATTGAATTTCGACTTATCGAGGTTCTACTTTATTATATAATTTACAGACAACTTTCATATTACATCAATTTTGTAACCAAAACTAAATGCTTCGCTTAAAGCTGATACATATTTTAAGACGTGAATTATAAATTCATTGTAAATTTTTAACACATGATGCACATCTTTTACTATATTTTTTGGTAATCATTTTTTCATTTATATTTATTATTTAGTCACTTTTTTTTATTATATGTTTTATGTTTATATTAATTATTTAAGAACTTTTTTTATTATACGTTTTTAGTAATATAATTTTAAAATAATAATAACAACATACTGTAACTGTATGTACATTAACTATACTACATAATAATTAATTATAATTCATACATTTTAAAAACTTTAAGTCAATATTTTTTTCTTAAAACCTTAACTTGAAATCCTTGATAAGTCAAAAAAATTGAATTTCGACTTATCCAGGTTCTACTTTATTATATAATTAACAGGCAACTTGGATATTACATCAATTTTATAACTAAAACTAGAATGCATTAAATACATTGGACTGGAGGAGATTTGCTCCTTGACTGTAATATAGGAATAGAAGTAAAGCTTGGAATGTTTACATTTTACATGCTTACATCCACAGTTTACATGTTTACATCATCAGAGTTATAATAGTTTTCTCAGTTCTGCAAAGTTCTAAGTTCTATCTGTCCTAATGGCTAATGGGTAGAATACAGGAGTAAAAAGATAAACTCATTCTAGATATCATAATTTATATTTTAAAATGTTAATTTTGTAATTTTATAAAATTATTTTGTTATCACTAATAATTTTGACATTTTTAGAAGACAAACACTGGTATAAATAACATAATATTGGTATTATAGTACCAACTACTGAGTTAAGGTAATTTTGCTAAATTAAGAAGATTTTCATTAATTGTAATATCAATTGTAATATAATCAAGGGAACAATTCCCCCCATAGGTTGTTAACAGTATGCAAATAGTCATTATTTAAAATATTTTTAATTATATTTTTATTGATTATTGATAACATTAATTATAAGAACTAAAATATTGTATATATATTCAAGTTGGTATCTTTAGTCAGTAACCTGTGGTGATTACATAGAGATAGACCTTATTCTACTTATGGCCAATTTACACAAGTAATGGACGGCCGAACTCGTCTTGCTGCTTGGCCGAGCATCAATCAATATTGAACGAGCCAGCGTCCACATGCATTTATTCGCTCGGCCGAGCGACTACACACACTACTACGATGTACCTAACAATAAACTAGTCGCTACACACGCGACACTCGGCTGCAGGTGGTTTAGCCTAGTAATGGACACTTTTGAATAGTTTATATGCTCGGATAGTTTGGATAAACTATCGAATATTTAGGATACCGTATATCTTAGTGATTGGGGGGGGGGGTAGTGCTGGAATTAAAAAATTATAGAAGAATATGTGATGAGAAAAAGTAGCGTTTCTTAATTATTAAAATTGTAATATTTGAATTCAATATGATTAAGAAGCTAAAATATTTTTAAAAAAAAATCGGTGTTTCGTCACTCCTTGACCTCCCCACCCAGCACTGAGTGGGGTAACCACTAAGCCCAGTTAATAGAAATGGTTTTTATTCACTTGTTTGACAATTTCACTATCATTAGACTGAATACTGTACATCATTTTGGGTTAGATTTAAATATAAAATGTTATTTTAAATCATAATACCTATATGGTATTTAATATATGTTTTGTTTTGAATTTGTATTTATTGTTCTAGGACTCAAGATCATACTAGAAGATATTGATAGGTATGTTAAAAATTAAACCATATAGTTTTACATACCTATACTTCAGATTATTTTGTTACCATGTTGATTATGTGTGCATTTTTATTAAAAGCAGGGTATTCTTTCATAGATGACACAGATAAGCGGAGGAATGCATTTGGACTGTGAACAAGGAATTGAACATTTTAATTGCAATAGTTGTGTTTTAGATTTATGCATTTATTTTCTATAAATAAGAAAAACACTTTTTTCTTTATTAGTTACTAATAAAACTTTTAGAACCAACTAAACCAATTTAAATCAACCTTCAGTTACAAACAAATCATCAAATACACCAGTTAGTACTTTTGTAAAATTCATATTGACTATAATTTATTTATTTTCATAAAATTGGATCTTCATAACGATCTGTTTTACAAAACTATTTATATTTAATTGTAAATGTATTCTTTTAGATGAAAAAACCTAAGAAAAAAGAAAATGTATCAATTAAAACTTGGAAAACTATCAAAAATTCTTACCTCAAAAAAATCTCCTAATTAAGATTAGAAGTACCAAAAGTTGCTGAAAATCTTGAAAGTTGGTATTCTCAATACTACTTGTAACCTTAATATGCAAGTAGTTGTTACAGACTTATAATATAAAATATCTAGTAATATACGGTCATTATTAAAGAAATGGTTTGATGCACACATATAAAGTGATTTGCTTAATGTGGCATATTGTTATTTTCCAGTATTTGTCTCTAGAGGTGCATTGAAAAGAGAAAAGGTATACAGGTAATTTTTCATCTGAGGTAAAATATATATAAAAATAGTTTTTAGATCCATCAAATATTTCTTTAAATAGGTAGCTTGGTAATCAAATTTGTTGAAATTGACTTGGCTAAACCAAATGCCACAAGGTCAACTAGGGAAACAGTGATCACTGATCTAGCATTTGCTAAATAGATTCAATCTTACAAAGATTTTCCTTCAAAACATATTCAATGGAATAAATGTTATGGTTGTTCAATTTTATTTTCATTACCTATACAGAATATTCTGTATATTAGGTGTATATAACCAATGTGAAAATATATTCAGGTATATGATACATCTTTGGATAAATATATTTATGTTAAATAAAAATTTACATTAGTTACTATAATTCACAAATGTACACTACTAATAATTAGTAAAATTATTTTGTTGATTGTCAGATATTAAATTAAATACGGTTTTAGTGGATGTGGTACTGCAGTTCACCACTTATTTAATTTCATAGAACAATCCAAAAATTTGCCATCATATTGGGTAGAAACAGACTGGGTCACCTATAAATATTTGGATAGACAAGAACAAATTTTACAGTTTTATCTGATTGCTAATAATTCTGTCAATATTCATTTTTTAAACATTTTTTTCAATTGGGTTTTGTCTTTTATTTTTAGCCTTTAATCACTGAAAAAAATAACTATTTTTATGTTATAGAATATTATTCTAAAAAATTTAATGCATAATACATTCATATCTGATTAATAGTTTTTTTAGTAATAGCCAGTTTTATATCTAGAGTAAGGTGTGAAAACTACCTTATTATGTGACAGCAAATTTTAGTCTCAATACAAGATAAAAAATGTTGAAATTAAAAAAATAAAATGACCATTAATAAGAACCTATTGATGGTATATGAATGAATGATACTTTGAAATAATATATTTTACAAAATTACTACTTTGAAAATTTGTAAAAGTGAGATATAATGTTATTCTGTGCTTTTAAGTGATAAAATTAAAAATTAAAATTTTCTTTACATTTGTGTTCCTCTTACAAATAACTATTGAAAAAATAAAAATAAATATTGACAAGAGTTATTAGCATTCAGATAACACTGTAGGACATTCTGTAGAGTATCTTGTTGATTAATTTATATTATATTTTTTTTAAATTATTTAACCAAATATTTGATCTTTTTTTTATTGTATCTGTTAAATTTATATGAAATTAACTTTTCAGGATGTTCCATTAAGGTTGGAAATTGGACCTACAGATTAAGATCATAGACAAATTACAGCTGCCCAGTGAGATATTGGTGAAAAGTAAAATATCATTAGACATGCATGCCAATGCCAATAAAAAATGTTTAAAACCCTACTAGTGGATAAAATCGACAAATTACTAGAACAAATACAACAAGAAATGTTAGCAGATGCAGAATAAGAAATAAAAACAATGTTATAGTATGTGATAAATGGTCAGATTGTCATTCATTGGAGGAATAATGTTAATACTGTTATCATTTTGTGAATAACCTTTTTGTGAGGATAATACTAAACACAATACTGCAAAGTATGAACAAAATTTAAATATTCTATACAAAATAAATGCATAATATATAACTTGAGGAGGCCAAATTATAATAATATGATCATTAAAGATTTAATATTATAATAAGATTGTATAGGAATGTTGGTACAGCAGAAATTGAAGTTTCAACCATGCTAAGTTATTGTGTGTGCTATTTAAGCAGCTTAATGAAAAAGAAGCTTAAACTAGGTGATAAGTGCATAAATTCAGAATGTGATTGAAAAACTGGATTTTTCACCTTATTTGGTCTAAGTTATTGAACAATTATTTTTATTTAATAGTACAAATGTTTATATAGTTTCTCATATTAACTAAATTTAAAATCTATATGTATTTTCTTTATATTTGTAATCTGTTATTATCTGTTAATTTTCATGAATAAATCATTGTCTAATACATAAGTATTATCACATTGATAAATTACCTACAATTATTACTATGTAAAAATTAATTTTTCTGATTTTCAAATATAATTTAAAATGTATTATAGTATATATTACATCTAATTGGTTTATGTAACACATTTAAATTTTTTATAAGGAAGTTAAACAATTATACTACACTAATTTATGTTTAACCATATTTAGGCATATTTTGGAATTGTTTAATGGAGAGGATAAGACATTGTTTAGGGAGGCTATAGTAAGGTCTAAATGTAATTTTGGGAGAATATAACTAAATCATAGGCATATTCTAGGTATTCTTGACCTTTAATTTCTAACTGATTATAAAATTCATATATATATATATATATCTATTGTGTACTTTGTGTGATTATGATAAAACAAAATTGTTTATTTTATTTAGCAATAAATAATTATATTATATCATATTTCGTAGTAGGTGTGCTTGTTTTAAAAATAATATGTTATGTATCAGTTGATGTCATAATTAATTGTCATGTAAAAATAAATAATAAGGAAGACAAATATGTAGATACAGTTTATTAATTATTATTTAAATCAATCAATTAATTATTTTGTTAATAAAAAAATATAAGTATAATTAATAAAAAATAAAATAAAAATATAATGTAACATAATACCTACCATCTATTGACTATATTGTTATATTTTTGTTCATAAAACAATATAGAAAAATATAGTTTACTATGATACAATATAATTATTAATTGCTAAATAACATAATAATTTTGTTTTATGATAATTACACAAAGTACACAATAGGTATAGGTATTATCTATTTAATGAAATGGATGTCCATATAATGTATTTTCGTCAAAATTCACAATCTGGATGAATTTAACTATCTGGATATCCAGTCCATGAAATTAGTGATTTCACTATGAGGATGCTATATGTATATTGAATAAAATGGGATTTACATAATTACTTTGAGGGAGCTCAGTAATAGTTGATAGTGAGTTTTTAAAGCCATAAGAAGATGAAAACTATACTTCTGTGAGAAAAAATCCGAGAAATTAAATTTCAACAAATTGTGAATAGTTTGAATAGATGAAGATGAGAAAGCAGAGTTGAGGTATGAATAGAACCGAAAGCTTCATGGAGGATGTTGATGTAGGTAGACACAAACAATCGTTAAAGGATTGATACATTTTACCTGCGAAGTTTGCAAGACATTCTATGGTACCTCTTCCTCTCCTAATGGCATTGCGATTTTTTGGTTAATTTGAGTTGGGTTCAAGCCACTAGTCTTGTTTGTTTTTAAATATATTGTTTCCATGATTTTACAATGGAAGAGCTGGATATTGGAATAACTTTAAAACCAGTCCAAGAGGTAGGCAATTTATTAAATAAGAACCAACACACCATAGGTTTTTTAGAAGATGTTGTGAATCAATTATTGGAACCTTAACAAATTGTATGTACAAACTGCAATAAAAAAAAAAACAAATAACAGACAGATTATTTTAAAACAACAATTTTTAATTGAAACTGTGGTTTCATATTTTAATCAAATTAATAAAAGCAATTTTTAAATATCAGTAGGTACCTTTGGAAAATGTACCAAAACATTTACTAATGAAATCTAAACATTACAGTTTACAGGATTTCATTGAACTTATTATTCTAACACTTACAGATTAAGTTATTGTTTGTTGTGACAATATAACTACAAAAGAAAAAATGTTTAGACAGTATTCAATAGTTAATTGATTTGTTTTATTATACAAAACATTTTATTATTTAATTATATTGTAATATATAACTACATACTTAATGTTGTAAACTATATATAACCACTTATTATATTAGGTGTACATATTTTAAATAATTTGTATTAGTTATTAGAATACTAATTGTTAAGTTTACTTTTGTTGTAATTTTACATTTTATGAACTACTGTTATTAATAATGTAATGAACAGTGTTTGGAGTAGATAACTAATAATTTATCTAGATTAAGATGACTGAACTAAATTGTATCTAGATAAACATATTATTAATAAATTTTAATTTTAATCTAGATAAATATCAGATAACTTAATATTTATTTTTGCTAATAGTAGCAAGGTAACAATGATAGCAAAGGTAAATGTTTTGCTATTGCCTATTGTTAGTTGCTATTACAACCAAACATAACATTATTTTATGCTTTTGGGTGTAATCATTGTTTAAATGTAAAACTACAGACTAATTTCTACAGACAAACTAAAAACTACAGACAAACATTCAATATTGAAATACATGGTTTAATAATAAATTTTATCAAATGTCTGTTTTCTATGTAATAAATATACAGTACACAGAAAAATGTAAATACAATAACTACCAATATAACTATTTTTAATTTTCAATTTTTTTTTAGTCTGTTAAAATAAATTATCTAGATAAGTAATGATAGATAAATATAATTTTATCTAGATGAAAGATGAATAAAATTGAACTGAAAATTATCTAGATAAGATAAAAGATAAATCATTTTTATCTAGATATTTTCCAACACTGGTTATATACATAGGTATTATTCTTTTTGGCTATGCAATGCAAAAAAGAGCTAATACTGGGGTTGGGAGAGACCACTGTTGTAGGTGACAAGTTGGGAAGCTAGGTATACATAAGGTGTACATAAAGTTGTTTCATTTTTATCTGTAAGCAACGATAAACCATTGCTTGATGAAAGACGATTCCGAGCTCAGTTCGGTAATACATAATTTGAAGTGTTGTACATTTTTGCGATTTTCGTTTAAATTTGATTACAAAACGTTTAATAAAAAAGTCGTCCGATAATTTTGGAAATTTTACCACGTCTAGGTAAGTCCAATATAAGTATTATTACCGAGTTTCAAGTCTCTACGTGTATACGTGTAACACCAAAAAATTAAAATTACTTAAAAGCTCGGAAGTGACTCAAAAGTTTTGGCGATGATACCGCAAGAAATTAAACCAAAAAGAAAACATAAAAAGTATTGTGTGAATTTTCGATTAAATCATTTTTTCTGGGAGAAATTATCGTCCGTGTTTTTATAAGATAATGAAACTATAAAATTGTATGTTTTACTACATTTGTTTGCAACTTAAGTGCTTTTATTGAAAATATAGTGTTGAAAATTAAAAAAATTACCTCTTTAAAGTATAATCTAGACAACTTGAGCTTTTATAAAAGTTGCTACTCATAAAAATCGGAGCAAGTTTACTAAGAAAAACAGTGTCCACAGACTAGAACAAAGAAGAAATAAACAGCATTGTAAAACCAATAGCTTCCTTGCTATGCTTGGAATTTATAAATGTTTTCGAATTGCCTCTCAATTTGATATTTCATTCAATATTAAGGTATATTATATTTTTTATACATTTTATTGCTGGTTTCACTTTTATTAATTGTAATAATTATATTATAAACAGGTTTTGGAGATTACTAGAAATTAATGGGTATTACATACAGGTAGATTATATAAAAAAAAGACTAATTTACTGGTGGACAACATGCATAGTAAAGAGATAATAAATAAGTATGAACACACTTTATCTTTAAACTCGTCTTTAAATGACATTTTTATAAAAAATTATAAATTATAAAGCTTAAGTTAATTTAAATTTCCTAAGAATTGTTGTCTTACTTAATGATACTTGTTTTTACATACATATTATTTGCATGCATAGTAAATAGATAATAAATAAGTATGAATACACTATAACTTTAAACTCGTCTTTAAATGACATGTTTAATAAAAATTACAAATTATTATCTTACTTTATGATACTTGTTTTTACATGCATATTATTTGTATGTTTTGAATATTAAAACAGTTTTAGAAAGTAATAATAAAATACATGTTTACAAAGTGGAAATAACCATTAAATTAGATTGAAATACTATTTTATTTCTTAGTTTGTATCTTCAAAGGAATATGTATATATATTTTTTTTTTTAATGTGCAATATCTTTTTCTTTCAATCGGTTGAAAGTCTTAAAAGCACTCCGAAATGTATTAATGTCATTTATTTCCTCTTCAGGTGTCTGCTTACATTTTCTCCAGTCTATACGATCTTCAACATCCAACAATGATTTTGATGCCAATACCTCCCTATGTTTTAATATTTCAATTAAACAATATCATAAAATTAATAATATTTTACAACAATACCTTGCAAGTTGAAGGGGAAATCGAGTTTTATCGTCTGCTTCAATGTTATACAAATAACATTTTTTATTTGGCAATTCTAAATAAAAGTATCCTTTACTCCTTATTATTTGATGTAACAAGGCATTTTTAGGAACCAGCACAAATTTAAGACCACACTCTTTGAATTTAGCCTAAATAATACAAAATAATTTTATTAACATATCATGTAATTTGTAGTTGTATATTACTAAGAATGCTTGTTCGATGCGATCAACCATACTGTTAGGAACTGGGATTACTTGGAGGTTGAAATGCACAGACATTATGTTGCGTTCATAATATATAGGTCCACGACCAGTACTTTGAAAATACTTATTCAAAGAATATTTTAATCTGTTAACAATACACAAATTAATTTTATTTAATTCCCTAATAACTAACATTTTAAAATATAAAAATGTTTTAATTACGCATGAACTTCAAAGTCTGCTTTTTTTGGAAGATGAACGAGTGATTGATAATGGCCAACTGTTGCAATTAATAAATTTTCTTTGATCAATGGACCTACAGTACCAGCTAAATATGCCTGAAGAAAATTTAATTAGTTAATATTTTTAATTTATAAAAACATCAAAACAATTCCACACCTGATCACCAACTGATACAATCATATGTTTAACCACCTTATTACTGCCCAAGCAGAACCAACAATCATCAAGATTTATTTTATTGGCTGTTATAAAAATAAATAATTTTAGTACATTACAATTTATTTTAAATAAGTTACATTTATTGAATGTAAACGAAATTCGATAAATAAAATAAATTTGACTTACTTTGTTGTAATTCTTCATTTGATTTTAGACGTTTATGAGAGTTTATATTTCTACTGTTGCCGGCTGATATATCATAAAAAAATTGTCTTGATATGGGTTGTACACAATAGTCAAATTCAGGAGAATATGGTGGTCGGGTAACTTGAGGAATATCACTACGAGACAAATCATCACTTTTTCTTAAAATAAAGCCATAAATCCATTTTTGTTTTGTTCTCGTTAATTTATCTGGTTTATTAGGTCCATAATAATCACCCAAAGCAATAAATCTTGTTACTTGGCGATTCGGATTCCTGTAATGAAAATCAATAATTATTAACAACTCATTTGAAGAATAAATAATAACATACCTAAATAGACTCCGCTCATAATAAATGCCTTGCATTCCAGAAAAATGATAAGATGGTGTTAAATTTATAGCCATCCATGATAATAAGTTTGATACACATTTTGTATCTGAACATTCTTTACTGGGTTTTGCCTATAAATATAAATAGATTTTTTTTTTATAAAAACATCATTCAAATTTAAAAACAACTTTTTATACACTAAAGAGGTCGTTTTTTTCAATATCTTTTGGCCATGGTGATGTCAAAAGGACATCCAATTTCTTTCTAGACCGTACAAAAGATTCTCTGAACTCTTCTAAAGATTCATAGTTGAATGTATGCATATCACATTCAACACCTTGATAGGGACCTTGAATACCACTAATATAGCCAATGTTAAAACCTTCTGAAGTAGTAAACATGCCATGTTTACCTAATAAGCATAAAATATACTCAAATTAAAATATCAAAATTAATAATAAATAAACAAATTAGTTAAAAATACTAAATACTACCGAGATAATAAATGTTGGGGGCCAACATCTGGTCAACCAAGTTCTCAAAATACTTTTCGTGTTCTTTTTTGTTGGGTCCTAATGTATAAATAGGTACTGGAACTGAAAAAAAAATATACTTAAATAGTTATAATAGAAAATAAAGTGAATAAAATAGATTCTAAATTTCATACATTCCCGAGTATATTTCAAAGACTTTGTTAATTTTATTTTTATTATTTGGGTGGAGTCATCTATATTCATCTTATTACCATAAGAGCTTTTTATCACAATTAATTTTTAATTTGATCTAACTATGGTTATTAGAAACAAATTCAAAATTTAACCATAAATAATAATAATAATATTTAATGTAAAAAAAAAAAAACAACTTTTGAAACTCATACATAACATAAGTTTAAATTTTTTAATGTTGCTACAAAAGCGTAGCTAGTGGTGGATGCAACTGTTCAGTTACAACATTTAAAATTTAAATCAAAGAAAATCAGTAAATGATACAATAATAAAAAAGGAGAGAAAAAATTATTTAAATAAAATACATATTAAATAAACACCAGAAGAATATGTTCAGACTAATTAGATCTAAATTTAGCACATTTAAATATTTTTTTAAATGATACTTGCTGTAAAACAATGATAAATTAATATTAAGTTTTGGACATAAAGAAATACTGACATTAACAACTGTTTTTCTACCAAATTCTTCATAGGTTACTTACATATTCAGACCAAATCTTTGTTTATGGCGAGTATAGTAAGTATGAGATGGTGAATAATTTTTTAGGTCTAAATCATAATTTTAGTTTAGTATGTATATTCAATAAATATAAACTATTCATATTTTTTATACTGAGTGTTTTGTAAAGGTTAATTATATGGAAATCAAAAGATTTACTAATCATAAGTTTAATGTGATAATAAGTTGATTAAGAAGAGCTAGATTAGATGCCCCACTTCACGTCGGACTGGCCTGGCTGCTCCAGACTAAGTGCCCCCAAGGTTGAGGAGTTTAACTCGGCTGAAACGTGGTGGCTGTGGGACAGGCGCAAGATAGTAATGCTAATCCACTGCACCTAGTGGGCGAACGGGAACCCATCCCGGTCGCGAGAAAGATACGGGCCTCAAATACCCGGGGCTGGTGTTTCCTTCAAAGACCCTGTACTGGCGGCGGCTCGTCCTCGTCGCTCCAGCACCACGACCGCCCGCAAGTAGCGCCCAGCGCTAAGACGCGGACGGCCACAAAACCTCTGGGGATCAGTTATCTCAATATAAATTAATAACAACTTCCTTGTTATCAATATTATACAAATATACCATAAACTTTAAATAAACTATAAATATTAACCAAGATGTACTATCTTTAATCGTAAATATACCTTGTGTCTACAAATATACTATGTAGATAACCTTGAATTTATGACTACAGCTTATTATAGTTATTATTGTTCTGACAGTGTGTTCATGTAACTATTAGTAAAATATTTTGGACTTTTACTTATATTTATTTTGTATATTTTTATTCTAAACATCACATAAATAACATAAATGTGTAAGGTAAGCGGTACATAAAAGGAGGGATAATTTCGGGTGTTACAATCCCCACAGGTTTTTTTTTGCTATGGAAACCTGTCAAAAGTTACAATTGAACAAAGTGTGTCTGCTAAAATCAGATGTATTTTAGATCCTGAAAATAAGAACATTTTTGCTTTCTTTGGGGACAACGGGATAAATAGCTTGAAAGTGGGAATATTACACCCAATGTGGGACGGATGATTATATCCCTCAAAGAGGTATAGAACCCTAACTTTTTTTAAAAAACTTATTCCATACAATATAAAATTCAAAATTTCATGTGCAAAATCTGACACATTATTCATCAATATTAGTCTATTATTAATGTTAAATTTTAATAAAATTGTGTAATATTAATAATATATATTAGTTATGATTTTTTATTGATATTTTTAACATTCATATCACCTCCCGAAAGAGGTCCTAGTTACACCACTGATATACTGTAATATAATTTAACAAATTTGTAAAAACATGTTATTTATGTTAATACATTTTAAAAGTTAAAAAAACGTTATGTTCCAGAACTCATGTCGCATTTTATCTACAATATATCTATAAAAATGTGTTTTTACATTAAAAAAAAAAGATCAAAAAAATCCTTGGAAGCATTAAGTAAAGATAACCATTCTTCTAGTGACTGCCGGTTAGGGTAGGTAACACCATGTGTTTTAATGAAGTATTTTACTTTGATATGCCTCCATGAAAATCTAATAGTATACTTTGAGTATAAGCCCTGTTTCCGGGTCAATGAAGCGCAAGTAATTTGCTGATGATTTATGGTATAATGTATATAATCGCTTAGATTGTTACGGGCTCTCCACTAACGTCTGAGTGAATTTTTAATCCCACTTCTACTTTACCATTTATAATGGGAACTAACCTAGTTCGATTCCACTGTATTAATGATATCTATAGTTATACATGTATATCTAAGACATAAAAACATGCCATCAACATCAATCAACTTCTGACCCACTTTTACCACCAGACATAGATAACATAAAACACGATTAACATTTACGTAAATAGCATACGACGCAAGTATGTATATATTCCTTACCAGTTGTTCCGGATTTCAAAAATTGTTTCCACTCATTTTCATAACTTTCTTCATCTCCGAAAAAATCCCCAATACAAAACACATAGTTGAAGGAACCTCTTTTGACGAACAGATCATTTAAATATTTTACAAAGGATGTTATTTGCCCCTTTAGTCCGGAACAAACAAGTCTGTGTACAATTATATTATATTATTATGTATTCACAAAAATGTAATTCATTTAAAAATCACATACATTCTGATGGTCTCGTCGTTTGCCATTATAATATATATGTTTTGGCTTATCGCCCTGTGCCACTATAGTAATATAGTAATTCTGCCTATAAACATATAAAAAAAATTTAATTCACAATCATACACAGAGGTATACACAATTTGAAACTAAACTAATATTAAATATTAAAATGATGCTAAAAATTAAAATAAAATTACATCACATAACGCACTTACGTGGGAACGCCAAAAACTATTACAAAGAAATGCACGAACCACAAAGTACTACCACAGTCCACAATATAATAGCTTTGTTACAGAACATGAATAAATGACTAAGCAGAAAACCATCAACAATGACGAAATGGAGTTGGTTGGTCCTCTGAATGTAACCTCAAATATTCTGGACGTTATAAC